ATAAATAATAATAATAATAATCACAACGGTTACAATAGGGTCCTTGCACTGGTGTGCTCGGACCCTAATAATCCGAGCAGTTCCAATAGGGTCTTTGCACCCTTTTGGGTGCTCGGACCCTAAATATAGTTAAATCCAATAAAATAGCTCTGTCACAAACTCTACTTTTTCAAGGTTTATGCACTGTTAGTTTTTGTTGTTAATGTGGAACATACTAGCTACAAGGTACAAACTACACTATATGTTTATTAGAAAAGTTGGAGTGAGTGATTATATGTGGAAAGTGAAAATGCACAAGCTTTGTAATAGTAGACAGTCAAACTGTTGTACTGCATCACATTAGATTGCACAGGTGGTCCTAATAAAGTGCACAGTGAATATTTTAGCATGTGTGTGTATAAAGTCACCATCTGCAGAGTAAGCAGTAACAACAAATAATAGTTCAAAAGTGTATGCAAGTGGAATACTTGAGTAAAAGTATAACATTTCATCACGGTATGTCACACATACCGGCTTCTGTTCTCCGCAAATATTACATGTGAGCCACCCAAAACCAGATGATTAGTAAGGTCTAGCATCAGAGGTGTGAAATGATCATTTTGGTGAATGACTGGCCCATGACCCCTTCATAAAAATCTTTAAGTCAATCTTTGAGTTACAAATATTAAGTCAAACCTACATTATTTTTCAGCACAATCAGATTTTTCCTGATCACAGGAAAATTTTGGCTGCTCCTGGATGAACCCTGCTGGCTTTACTAACAGCCATAAAACCCACACACCAACATAGAAAACATAATAATTTATTGAAATTACTGACCACTGGAATATGAACACATCTAGAAACATTTGTGCAACAGCAGATAAACAGTTAATTAGTCTACAGTTTACATAGTTTACTGATTTTCATTACTTCTTTAATAAATATATCCATATGAATAGACTGTTTATATGTAAATCTTTGTGAGACAGGCTTTCAAGCAAATATGGCATCATGTCACACAGTAATGTCTTTTGTATGTTCATCAAGGTACTTTCAGTTCAGTTTCAATACAGAGCAAAGAACTCCACAAAATGGACAAAAAGTAAAAGCAACAACACTTAGACTGCAAATACAGACTGTGAATCAACTGAGTGTGAGAACAATGCGGACAATAACAGAGGTTCATGTATTTCTCAATAATTCTCTAAAATTGTCAACATAGTAATTTCACTTGTTTCTAAAGCAGAAGACACCGTTTCAAAAAGGTCTTTGGTGATCTACTCTTTGGAAGAAAAAAATCTGCTAAGCATGTGGAACAGGAAGAAGTCGAATTACTTCATCCCTGTAGACAAACTATATATATATATAAAAGACTTAATTGCACTGTAGCAGCTTCTTCTGGTCGTTGCAATTAGCAGCATTAACTGGACTTTACTGCGCTTTAGTTTAAGTTTCCCAAGTCCACTGCCCCACATTAGTCCGGGTACAAAAGAAAACCGGAGAACGTGCTGTATTTGTTGTTGTTTCCGCCGTGCGCCTTGCCGCCGTCCAGCTTGACATAAATCTCGTCCCCGGAGTCCAGATGCAAGACGACGCTGTTGCTGGCGTAGTCATAGTTCTGGTCTGCGTCCTGCGCTATGGCGCTAGCTCGGACCTACAAATTACGAAAGACAGACAGACAGTGTTGACCCAGCTGTACATGCCCCTTGGCAGAGAGACGCACGTTTAAGTGCGTCTGACACAAACCAAGCCACAAACTCCCAGATATTTAAGCCACAGTTCACGACAGAACGACTGGTGAGTGAGTATGTCATACAATTTCGGAATAAACCACGTAAAACAGAGAACCAAAATCCAAACTGCGATCATGGACTTTAGACTAGACTGAGCGCGTAATTGCGCTCCAGGCTCCGTTACGCTCCGCAGAGCCGAACATCAGCAGACAGGAGCCTCAGTGTGTGTCTTTGCTTTGCGGTCACATACTGCAGCTTTTAAGGGGGTCGAGGGGAATATTTACCTGTCCGTTTTTGCACAAGTCTGCCCACATGCTTGTCCCGTCCCCTCCGCGCATCAGCACATGATAGGTGAAGTAGTAAATTCCAGACACTTGGCACGTAAACTTGCCGGTGGTCGGGTCGTAGTGGTTCCCTAGGTTTGTGACAACGTCGTCAAACCGCAACACTTCGTATCCCTCGTGAGGGTTTTTCAGACCCACATAAAACGCTATCTTTGCCCCACCAGTAAAGGAGCCCAGCTCTCCGCCGATCTCGGTCCGCGCTGTGCCCATTACCCCGGGGTGTCCGGTCTTTGCAGAATCTCCTCTGTCACCCGGTGGCCCCCTTGGACCGGGTGGCCCCGGTTCGCCTGGTGGCCCCCTCGGCCCGGGTTTTCCCGGCCTACCCGGCTCGCCTTTAGTCCCTTGAACAAAGGATGGAGAGGGAACGGCACTTAGGTCCTGCATGACTTCCAGCGCCGTGGCGCTTGGTTTGGGGTTGTACGGGTCACAGATCATCCGACAGGTGCCCATCATCTCATAGTGTGCGTCGATCTTAGACGTTTGTACCAGCAGGGGAATCGCGATGATGAGAGCCAAAACCATGACGATGCCAACCACAGCGGCGACGATTCTCTTTCTGTGGAGGGTCCGAGAAGCAAGCGCTAAAAAGTCCGTTTTGCTTTGGGACGTAATGATGGAAGGTGTAAGAGCGCTGAAAGCCACGGTGAAAACAAAGCGGACCTAAACGGATTCACTCAATCCCAGGATCAAGTGAGGAGAGAGAGGAGCGACAGCAGCGAGCGTGTTGTCACCCTGAAGCCCAGCGGAGCCTGCAGCGCTCAGCGCGCTGCCACTGTCACTTGGTCTCACACAGCTGACAGCGGAAACAGTGGTTCTGGCAGCGGCTGCTCTCCGAGCTCACACAGGCTTCCAGCGGGTTGTGCTCGTCTGCAATAATCGAGAGAGGAGTCAAGAGCTGTTGACGTAACGAGTTCAGGGCACAGCCTGTTGCAATTTGGATTAAGACTGCAACAATAATCATGTCATCTTTATGTATGAATTATAAATCCCTCTGCATAGCGCTCAGGGAACGGGATCAGGAAGCATCACTGACACTTTGAGTTTCCAGCACACTGCCAGAGATTTACTCTTTTGTCTCCCTCAGTTAGAGACAGTCGCCATCGATAGATAGGTGGGTATTGTATTTTATACTGTACATTAAGGTAAATTATGGGTTGAGTAGAATCCAGCGTTTTGGAAGCTTAAACTGCAGCTGCTAGCATTTTAACTAAATCCATGAAACACATGACACCACACCATTTTTAGCATCATTGGTTTTGGGCTTGATTTTGAGATTTTAACCTTCAGGCTCCAGATTATTTTTCAAGCTGCCCTCCTCCTGTAAAACTGGGTGCGGCCAAAGGTCTTTTGACAAGAACTTAGTTTGCCAAAGCTCTGAACTGATTTACTTGAGGAGCTTCTATTAAGTCACTTCTTAAAACATTTTTTATTTTTTATTTTTTTTAATTAGGATATGAGCAATTTAAATGCTATTGTATGTGCAACTTCTTATTTAAGTATTTATCCTCTGTATCTGTGTGTATTGTTTGCTATTTATAAAAACCCTTTGTAATACTGCTTTTGACAAGTACTCTACAAATACATGTATTATTATTTCATGTTAGTTATCAGACATGTTTTGATGTATATGCTTTCCCTTTTGTTTCTCCCTCACCTTATGTAAAGTGGTACTGCTGACCAGGGGCCTGTACTACGAAGCCAGATCAACATACCCAGGATATCTAATCCTAACAACCCACTCAGGATAACCGGTCCTACGACAGTGGTTATCAACTCGGTGAGTCAACTCAGGGTTGTCTGTTCTGAGTATGAGCGCGTGCACATAAAATGGGTGGCGTTATCGGCATTGGACCAATCAGGACTATGGACCAGTCTGGCTGCAGAGTGGCTCGCTTTACCGCCGAGGAGCAGAATATAATCTTTACTAAATATGAAGAATATGAAAAAAATCATAGGAGCAAAAAGCAGCAGCGTTGCAGCGGCCAAAGCCAGGAAGGAATGCTGGCAGAAAACTGCTCACTGTGTGAATGCATCCGTTCATTAGTTTATAATAAAATATGATCACTGCTCCATCATGAAGGCACGTATTGGTGGACCGAAAACCCAGGATTTAACCTGAAGTTACCTCGCTAACCCCAAATCCTGCTTCGTAGTACAGGCCCCCAGTCACAGGACACACTGCTGCTAGACGTCGACTGATCTTGATGGGATCAGTTGTAAAGAATAAGTTTGTTTTGAAGTCAGAACTTCCGTTAAGGGGTTGGTTTACTCAGTTTTGGTATCTAAACAAGAAGACTGTTTTAGTTTTATTTATCAGGGTTTGAGATGTCTGTCTATGAAATTGTTGCCTCCTCCACTGCAATTGACTGTATTTTATGTTCTGACTTGTGCACCAGATCTTATAGCATTTATGACTCCTGTTAACAGCAGGTGTTTCCTGTGTTCCCAACAGAGCTCAGTGAGCAGTATTGGCTCACACACAACACACACACTACTGAAATGTTGCTCTTGTTCAGGTTCATGTGGAGCATGTGCCACCAACACTTCACCAGTAGTCAAATGCATAATGAGCGCAGGCCTACACAGGAAGGAAATTCCTGATCGATACAACATCATGTGAGCTCTGATGTCAATTTAATTTAAGGTCCCCCTCTGAAGAACAACATAGGCCCCTGCAAGGGTCCCTGCTGTGCATCACCACCTTTAGTTTCTTGCTAAAGAGCCTATACTGTTGGAGCCATCTAAAAGTTGGCAGGTGTCTTTGTCTGTTTGTCTAATCTGTTACAGAGGCACGACTTGCCTTCTGTTATCAGGATCAGCTAATCCTTTTCTCCACAGATCTGGGATTTAACTTTCATATCCTCTCGTCTCAGCAGGCTAAGCTAGCAGCTAACAAAGCATGTCGATTCCAAGAAGCTTCCCCGTGTTGCTGATGAGATGAGATGTATGCCACACACACACACGTACGCACACACACACACGCAAACACACGCGTGCGCGCGCGCGCACACACACACACACTGCTGCATGTCACAAGCAGATCCATGAACACAATCCATGCAGACAAGTGCACTGACACACAAACAGGGAGCCACGGAGCCCCTACAGTGTGACAGTACTCCCTGATGGGTACAAATGAAATCATTTTAAGTTGGTGATTAGCATTGTTGTGCATTTGAGAAAAAATAGAATCACACCAGTTTGATATTTCAAAACTAAATAATGCATGTTAATTGTGTGTCCAGGCATCATTTATGCTGTTAGACCAAAGTATCCCCAGGAAGTTTGCACTTCACCGCTGTTGTCTTAACTTTTTGGATTCTTGCCGCTGGGGACCATCACAATTCAAGTTTCTTCAGTTTGTCACTATTGATTGCTTCACATTACATGTGCATAAACATGCACGGAGTCAAAAAACAGATCCTGCTCCTTCCTAATATGTATACTCAACTGCTTTGCAACTGAAAAAATGTTATTTGATTAAGAGAAATGAATGCTGACTGGATTATATGTTCTAGTAACGCTATGTGAAAATTTTTGTCATGATTTTGAGTTTGTGTCATAGACTTATTCAGCCATTCATTCACTCTGGTTATTGTATCAGTCCTTCCACCGACCAGAGACTCTCACTGTCCCTCTATCTGCCTGCCACACCCACCTAAACTGCTCCACGTGCAGCCCAGTGTATACAGACGGGTGATAAATTACAGGAAAACCCAGCATAAACTGTGTTGGTAAAATGTTGGGACCACCACGTCACCAGAACAGCTTCAATGCTCCTTGGTATTGATTTTACAGCTGTCTATTGGAGGGACTCGTATTGTTCTTCCAAAAGACATTCCTTCATTTGGTGTTCTGATAATGATGGTGGAGAGTGCTGTTTAACATGCTGGTCCAATATAGGTGTTCAGTTGAGATCGGGTAGCTGCTAGAGTTATAACCATTCAATCACCACATACACCCTATGGATGACGGCACAGTCATCCTGGAAAAGGACACTATAATAAGGTAAATGCCAGCAAAATGCCCCCACAGCATAACAGCACAGCTGTATGGCCTCACTGTAGTGGTCAAGGATTCAGGTTTTCCTTTAATTTGTCATCCATCAGTATATTCCTCCACTTTCCATCACTCACTGGCAGAAATTTTATTTTGCTGTGTGCAATAGCTAAAATGTAATTTCTTTTTAATCAGCTCTTGTGTTGCTTAGGCTTGTTTGTATTTCTTTAAATCAACCACAGTTGTCTTGGGTGTGGCTAAGCTCTGTATGCAGCAACAGTGTCGGCAGGGAATTTGTTTTGGTGGAACATTTACACTGGGGAAGGGGGCCACTGCCAATAAAATGGATAACTTACAAAGTCAAACTGCCTTAAATAAAATAAAAATAAATAAAAATCTGAAGCAACTTTAGGAAGGCATTTCAGTGCATTTCTGTGGGATTCATGGGTATGGCTGTATTCTGAATAGCAGATGACTTATGTTCTTCTGTTTGGAGTATTTGTGTAATTGTGAGATGTTTTAATGTTCTCCTGTCAACTTGCAATCTCTCCTGTTTGTATTGGTTGGTGGTGTGGGAATAAGAGGTGCTCCCATTGGACCATCCTTGCTGCTACCCATAAATTCCATGTTGTGATTTCTTCCTAAAGGTGCGTTAGATCTTAAAATCCTTTGTATAATTAGCTTTTTTCTTCCCTTCTCTATTAGGAAATGTTTGCTCATAGGGAGACAGCTTTGGATTGTTGGGTTCTTCTGTTCTCTGTTTAGAATTCCTAAGGTCTTCACGTTACTATGTGAAATGTGAGATGACATATGTTGTGAATTTGCGCTATTTAAATGAAATTGAACTGAATTGAATTACTTGTTTCCATATCCATAAGTACATAAAATAGTCCATAAAATACTTTGAACGTGTGATGACGGGAATCAAAAGTTTCTCCTCATGTTTCTGTAAAAAATGTAAACGTAAGTAACCTCTTCTGACAAATTACTTTGAAAAGGGTTTTAAGAAGAACTGGGCTGGAGCCTCACATTTTCACAGATTTGAAAAAGTCCATTGGATTTGTGTTTAGCTTAACATGCACCTTAAGTGCTATCAAGGAAATTACAAAATTCCTCTGTGGACATTAATGGTTTAATCAAAGTGCTTTTGTTTTCTAGACTACAGGCAGGAGTCTCGATGTGAATCCTGGTTTTCACTTTGTTTGTCCACATCCGCCTTTCATTACACTTTCATTACAGTTTTTCTCAGTCACTTTGGTACATTTCGCAGATCAGAATTTAAATTCTCAAAACTGCTTGTTCAATCTTCACATCATTGTGTCACTTGTCCACATCAAAAAAGCAGTTTCTTATTTCTTTGTACAAGTTATAAATGCTTTGGTATGTTCATACAAATTATTATGTACATTATCTGCTGTTTCCTACATTATCAATTGCTCATGTCATGTTGATCAAAATGTATGATAATGGGTCTCTGTTGAACAGTCTCACCCCCACAACATTTAATCATTAGTTCATCACAA